CGGTTCACATGGTCCCCTCGGGGCGCTAGGGGCGACGCCATAACCAGTACCACCCGGAGCGCCACGGGCGCGCCCAGCGCCCTTAGCTGCACCGCCGGCAACAGCCCCTGCTCTCCCCACTCTCGCTTCTTCCGCCCGCACACGGCCCCGCCCCTTTTATAGAGCTTTATTTGCATCTCTATGCGCCGATTGGCCGCGCAGGGCTGGAGCCGCTGGCCGCAGGCGCACCGCAGCCAATCAAAGCGGCGCGCTTTGTCCAGCCCCGCTGCCCTAGTCGGTAGGCAGCTGGCGGGGCGTGGCGAGCCGGCGTGGACCCCAGCTCCGCCTCTGCGCGACCCCCTCAGGGGAGGCACAACAGGGGGCGGTGACCCTAGAGCTGAGGCTGGGGTGCGCTGGTTTCCCTCCGTACCCTGAACAACGCCCCCAGGTCAGCTGTGCGCGAGCAGGAGCTCATCCATCCATCCATCCACCCACCTATGTGCATCCACATTTGGGTTCACCAAGTGCCTCCCCAGAGGAGCGCTGAGTGCTGAGAGCTGAGTCCTGGACATGGCGGGCAAAGTCAGTCAAGCCCGTGGTCTCCAGACTGGAGGGGACCCCGGGTCTGGACTGGCGTGGCTGTAGAGCCCCGGAAGTGGGAGCCCATAGGGCAACTGGGGCGGGAGCGGGCCGTGGCCCCCTCGCGTTCCTTGCGGACTTGTGTGTCTGGACACCGCCCTCCCCTCCGCCGCCCCCCGCCTGCGCGGGGATCCTAGTGGGGCGGGGTTCGTCGGCTTTGCCGCACCTCCAGGCTCCCCTTCTCTGGTCATTCTCCCCACCTCGTCCTTCCCTCCTCTGCCCCGCAGCCCCCACAGCTGGACACCATCCCGTCCCCCCTTGAGCCTCTATCTCCCCCTAATCCTAATCCTTCGGTCCTTCGGTCCCCCTTGGACTTCCCTTTCCCCTCTTAGCTCCACGCCCACCCTCCCCGGTCGCAGCCCCCCTTTTCCTATCCCCATCCCAGCTCACCTCCTGCCCCCTGATTATTCCCCACCTCCAGCCCTTCCCTGGTCCCCATCCCTGGTCCTTCGCCTGGCCA